TATTTTGTGAGGGAAACGAGGCCAAAAAGAACTTTTGATTTCTATTTTTTCGAACTTTTTGGCCTTGTTTTCCCAGCAAAATTGTGTGGACGCAGCACTATTGTACCATTTGGCTTATCTACTACCTTTTTTATTATTAATCACTATTGTACCACCTTGATACATACCGTCCCCTCCTGATGTAAGGGCACATCTCAATTTCCATGTGAGCTCTATTTCGCATATAAAACCATGCTTTCTGAGGCTCATACGGAAATTGCGGTACTCCCTTACGTCAGATAAGCGACAATGCGTCCGGGCTACGTGGGTTTATGGTTTTGTTTCTCTCGTTAATTTCAAGTTTGCATTCAGCTGTAGAGTAACTGAACTGTATAACGCAAAAAGAAACTAATATTTCTGGCTCATTTAGAAAAATTCATGGCATTTATGTCTATGCTACAATAAACCGAAAATGACAATTCCTTTCTACATGATTCAATCCAATTACTTTCAGTTGAATGCGGTATTGTTCGATAGTAGGTATCACACGAGAACTATGCATAACTTATAGGAATTGCAAATACTTTTTATCTCTTTCAGCAACTGAGGGCATTTAAGTTATGGATACGATAGAACAAATAGGTACACATTTTGGAGGGCACTACTTCCGTCTTCAATGGCTCATTATGCGGAGCATTTTCTTCGTTTTTTGCAGTCCTGAAACAAACTAAGAATAAAAAAAAGAAAGATTAGTCGGAGCTTAACCTAACTTGAAAATAAAAAGTTTAGTGGAAGATTTATTTTAAATAGAAGTTGTGTTTTTATATAAAGAAATTTGATAAATATTTTTGTTTGTTTGAATACTATCCCCTTTTCTGTTGTTCTTAATATGATGATCCTTCGGGCTTCTTGTTCATGTAAAATCAATTTGATGAAGCTGATACCCATCTCTTATTCTAATGCAAAATTAATTATTTATTTGGAATGTAATGTAGCTAATTTCTACTTTTGTCTTTTCTTTCGCTATTTGTTATGTCGTCGCTTGGCTGCGGGCCGATTGTTGAAATTGAAAGATAAGGCGATAGACAAAGAAGACAAAGGGAGTATGGAGCTATCCTATTGGTTGAAACGGGTGGTTCCTTTAGACGAAGGGAGAAAATAATAGACTAATTATCGGGTCCCTCGTAGGTTGCTGTTACTTAGTCTATTACCTACCTCTTTTGTCCAATGCAACCGCTCGCTATCACCAATAGGATCCCTCTATATTTCTTTTGTCTTCTTTGGCTACAGCTTTGTCTATCAATTTCAATAATCGGCCCGCTGACAGAAGGGCGTAACTACAGATTGAGATGAGCCCGGAAAATCATTGAATTGTGTGGAAGACAGGGTTCATTGCAAAGTGTAGCTACGCCCTTATGTCAGGTAGGCGACGATGCGAGCTACTAATAAAAGTCATTTTAAAGTGATTATAAATGATAAAAAAGTGATAAGTAATTAGAAACGACTCAGTGTTTCCTGCTTAATCATGCGAAAATCTATGTTAATATTTGCAACACTAAATATTATTAATGTGAAATTCAATGATCAAATGCGAGTAAAACAGCTTCCGCTGTGAGCGCTTCGTTTCTTGCCGATCTGAAAAAAAAGATAAACAAAAGAAAATTAGGTAGTTTGAGGTTTACGGAGTATAAAACGGAAACTAAGCTGAACAGTTTGAAAAACTGTTTTTCCTACTGGTCTGAAACTATGCAAATAGAGGAAAAGTAGTTTAAAGTATACAAGAAAAAACACTAAATAAAACAAGGTGACACAATTTTGGAGGGTATGGATTCGATCGACATGAATCGATCGAAAAATGAAAACGTGAATCTATCGACGTGAATCGATCGACACCGATTCGATCGACAAATTATTAAAAAACCGGTGTCGACTCGATTGACATGAATCGATCGAAAAATGAAAACGTGAATCGATCGACCTGAATCAATCGACACCGATTCGATTGACAGTTAATTTAAAAACACCCGTGTCGATTCGATCGACATGAATGAATCGAAAAATAAAAACGTGAATCGATCGACATTGATTCGATCGACAAAATTCGATCGACTCACGGGTTTGTCGATCGACTCACGGCTTTTGTCGATCGATTCACGGGTATGTCGATCGATTCAAGGGTTTGTCGATCGATTCACGGTTGTCGATTGATTCGGTGTCGATCGATTCACGTTTTTATTTTTCGATCCATTCATGTCGATCGAATCGATACGGGTGTTTTTAAATTAACTGTCGATCGAATCGGTGTCGATTGATTCATGTCGATCGATTCACGTTTTTATTTTTCGATTGATTCATGTCGATCGAGTCGGCACTGGTTTTTTAATAATTTGTCGATCGATTCACGTTTTCATCTTTCGATCATACCCTCCAACAATTTTTACTGTGTTCGTTTCATATTCATCTGATAAAAAAATAAATGAAAGTAAAACACAGAGAGCAAAACTAGTGTCTTATTCGAGAGAGTAATAAAAACGCAGTCAATCAATTTTCCTTGTGATTAAAATGCTGAAAATTATCTAACCGCATCTCTCGTCAATTCAGAAAAGATGAGACAAATGAGAAAGAAAAGCTGACGTGAAGCTTTTGAGGAGGGGAAAAAATCTGGCTTAAGAAAAAAGTTTAACAGTTAACAGTCTTCACAGTTTAGGAACTTTATTTTAGATTTTTAAAATTAAAAGTTTTTGATTTCAAAAATTAGATTTTTAAAATTAAAAGTTTTTGATTTCAAAAATTTTAACTTTTACATTTTAGAAGTAAAATTTTTACTTTTTAAATTTTATAATTTTTATTTTTCAGTTTGATTTTTATGTTAATGTTTTACATCATTTCTTCCATTTTTTCAGACTCATTAGATCGATAATGTATATGTACTATAAATATTGTAGTAGTAGGCATATAGTGAGTAGTATGGTAGGTAAATAAGTATAGTAAGTACAGTAAGTAAGTAAGCAAGTAAGTATAGTATAAGTAGTAGTAAGTATATAGTTGCGGTAGTAATAATATATATGTATTATTGACCTATTGAGTATGAATAAATTGGAAAAATGATATGTAGCATTAAGATAAAAATAAAATTGAAAACCAAAAATTTTAAAATTTATAAAGTAAAAATTGAAATCTAAAATTAACAATATAAAAAATTTGAAATTAAAAAATTAAATTATAAATTTTTGAATTGTAGAGCATATAAATTTTAAACTATAAATTTTCTTGCAGTAGAAGTTAAGAATAAGCTATTATACACAGTGTACTCACGGATTAGAACCTTTAGTGTAAGCGACCACTACAACACAACGCAACACAACACCACACAAAACTACCGACTGATCGACTGACTGACCCACTGACCTGCTCACCCATGAAATTATTTCGCTTGCTGAAACCAAACTGAGTGAAATTTAGGGTTGGGTTTGCCCTTTTATAATCTCGTAAACTGCTGGCCTGAAGCCACCACAAACAATCCCCCCTCCCCCCTGGCTGACCCCTCTCGCAATTAGGATGTATTCCAGAAACTTCTTCCTTATTGTTTTCCAATGGCGGAAAATCCGAGCTTTACGGGATTTCAGAAGGGGTGCATTCCATCAATTTCGGATGCGGCCAGGCGGGGCCCTTTGTTTCACTGAGATGGATGATGGACCTTACGCGTCACTGTAATCAGGGCATGGAAATCCCCTGTTTTGTTTCTTTGGCGGTCCGATCAAGAAACCTCCGGGTTGCAAAACAATGGGAGAGGGGGGGGGATCGTAAACAGGAAAAAGAACACGGAAATAAATTATTTCGGAAACACATACTTTACAGTGAAAAAGCAAAAAAAATACTGAACTACAAAGAGAGAGAGAGAGAGGGGGCGGGTGGCAAAGTCCAGAAAAAGTCTCTAAGTGGGTCGAATTTTGGAAAAAGGAACCATCGCAATTACAGTGTTGTAAAAAGATTGCTTCTTCATAATTATCAAAGAAATCTCCCAGAATAACAAATGGACTACATTTTGCAATTTGGAACTATAAATTCTAGCTCAGTTTAAAAACAATGTATGTGCCATTAGTTTCCCAATGCATTTGAGTGTTTTTTCATATGAGCCAAAATTTATAGTTCCAAATTGCAAAATGCAGTCCAAATAGTTCTGGCTTCTCACGAAACAATTGTTAGTTTTGAAGGAAAATACTGAAGGTAAGCTCTAACACTGTACATAGATTATAAGTAATTTTAAACGTACAGAAGAAGGTGCACGATCTTGAAAACACTGTAATCGCGCTGGTTCCTTTTTGCTAAATGCCATCCAAGTGAATTGCGTAGTTCCACAAACAAAAGCGGAGCGGAGGCATCGCGGAGTTGAGGAATTTCAGGGTGGGCCCAAAAAAGGCCCTTAACGATACCCCTCCTCACAGTGAATTTTCTGCATAGCATGATCACGAAGCAAATGTCTTAAAAATTTCGAAGGAATCCGCACAGACGTTCTCTTGTAAAAAGTCAATTGTTCCCGGTTAAATTTGGCAATAGCTGATGCGGCTTGTTTCCTTTCTGCTAACACGGTCCATATGATTATCCTCTCTTTCACGCGTCGAAAGTAAGTGTCGAAAGCCTGCGGGCTGATTATTGAAATTGATAGACAAAGCAATGGACAAAGAAGATAAAAAGGATTTGGAAGGATCCTATTGGTAGAAGCGGGTGGTTGCAATTGACAAAGGAGGTAGGTAATAGATTAACTAACGGTGACCCACGAGAGACACGACAGCCAGTCTATCATTTTCTCCCTTTGTCTATGAGAACCACCCATTTCAACCAATAGGATCGCTCCATACTCCCTATGTCTTCTTTGTCTATAGTTTTGTCCATCGATTTCAATAATCGGCCCGCTGGAATGGTAACGTGGCCATAGAAGCAACTTCTTTTGCATCACCTCCAATTGAAGGCGAACTGTTTAATCTCTCTATCAAACTCATCCGATGTTCTGAATGCTGTAGGTACGGAGCTTACTCGTCAGCGGAGACCTACTCTCCCTCGGAGATGAAGGAGATCGTGGGCTACGGTCGGGATCGAGGGATCCGGGTCATTGTGGAGATCGACGCTCCAGCCCACGCTGGGAACGGGTGGCAGTGGGGCCCGGGCGCCGGCCTCGGGGACTTGGCCGTCTGTGTCAACAAACAGCCGTGGCGCAAGTTCTGCGTCCAGCCCCCGTGCGGCCAGCTCAACCCCGTCAACCCCAACACCTACAAGGTCCTCCGAAGCCTCTACAGGGATCTAATCGCTATTTTCTCAAGGAGGGAGATGTTCCATATGGGCGGAGACGAGGTGAGTCATTTCGACGGCATAAATCCACAATCACATATCGACGGTGAAACTACCAAACCACGTATCTCGGTTGCGGTGTTTAAAAATCTACGCTCCCATTTTATTTTTTTAAAGTAGACCAAATCAATATCATTCCTTGAGATTTTGACGGAATTTTCTCCGCACAAAGAGGAAAAATCACAGAAATTTTCAAGACTGGATGTTAAGCAGTTTTTCATTTAAAAAATAAAGTATGACAGGAAGTCTGCGACGTCGCAAACCGAGATACGTGGTTTGGTAGTTTCACCGTCGATATCTCGTTTGCGGTGTCTGAAAATCCCCGCCTCTATGTTACTTTTTTAAAGGAGAACAAATTGACATTATACCTTGAATATTATGCAGAATTTTCTTCGCCCAGAGAAGATAAATCACGGCGGATTTAAAGAATTGCCGTTGAATAATGTTTCGTTAAAAAAATAAAATATGACAGGAAGTCTGCGACGTCGCAAACCGAGCTATGTGATTGCCGACTTACACCGTCGATTTGAAGTTAGAACGCCTGCAACGGAAATCCAGCCGCAGAGGCAACTTCCTTTGCGTCATCTCAAATTGAAGGCGAAATGATTATCCTCTCTGTCAAAGCGTGCCGTGCTTACTCTGTCAAATGAACTGCGCTAAGCAGTGAGGAAGTAGGCATAGCACCAAGGAACCAAGAAAGTATCCATGCGGATAAAGTATGGCCATTCCTAAATTTTTGACACAGGGAAATCGTGCCGCCTTTTTATTGCAGTTTTAGGCTATCGTAATGCCCTTATGCGGCCGTGAATAAACCAACGCTCCTATTCTGACGTGCCGAGGAAAAACGCTCTATGAGCCCTCAGACGTTTTTTTTTTTTTTTTTTTTTTTTTTTTTTTTTTTTTTTTTTTTTTTTNTACATAAGATAAGTATATAACATAAGATAAGTATTGTTAAAGATATTTAGGCATATAAATAACAACTTAATTACTTGATATACGATAAAAGGACGGCAAATATCAAGGATATATCCATCGCCCAGGTTAGAGATGTATAAAAAAGAGTCTAAGTATTAATTAAGTTTACATTACAGATATATATATATATATATATATATATCACACATAAAATAGAGAGCCCTCAGACGTTGCCGAATTTTTTTTGATAAATCTCTCAAGTTTCCTTCAAAATTTAATTAATATATTTTATTAGAACAGTTAAATTCGTTTACTTGTAAAATGTTGAATGGAAACGTAACCGAATTTCATATTCTATTGCTCAAAAAGAGAAGTCATTATATGCACAGCTTTGACGACATGAAAGCTATTAAGCGACAGAAGATCCACCATGTTGGTTCTTCTATTTACTTGCCATTTGAAAATGACGTTAGACGATCCTCTGTTTCGGTTTACAAGACCGCAGACTTATTTGGCGGGGACCTTATCCTTATAGGAAATCCTCATCTGGTATTTCTCAATGTACAATTTACAAAAAGTAATTTTTAAGTAAAAAAGTATGTTAAACTCTTATATGATTTAATGTAATTTTACAACATAATTATGGTAGAAAAACATGTTAACAGCTCTTAAAAACACCTTTTTAAGACTTTGTCACGAAAATTTTACTATCTAAGAATCTAAAAACGAGTTTCAAAAACACAACTCTCGCCAGGTCGGCCTCCTGTGGTGTAGTGGTTGTAGCGCTGGCCCTATGACCATGAGGTCCCGGGTTCGATTCCCGGCCAGGTGATCTGAGTTTGATGGTCTCGGGCAATGGTCACCTGGGGCTGGGGTAATAAGCGTGGGATTAGCCAAAGGCTATTTGAAATTGGTAAAAAAAAAAAAAAAAAAAAAAAAAAAAAAAAAAAAGTTTTCATCAGGAATTTCTGAAAAAGGCTTTATAATCGTAATAATCATCACTAAGGCATGTAAATTATTTTGCACGCAGGTTGCATTTTCGTGTTGGAATTCAACTGTCGAAATTCGTCAGTGGCTGGAGAAACACAACAGAACGAAAACGACCCGGGATTATTTGCAACTATGGACGGAGTTTCAAGATCATGCCCTGAAAATCTACGACGAAGAAGTCAACAGCACGAAAACGCCGATTATCCTCTGGTCCAGTGAACTGACGCAACCGGACACAATAACACTGGATCCAAATAGGTAAAAATACAGGGTGATCCAAAAGTCCCTTCCACCCCCTCTAACTTTTTACCTAATGGAGAATTTGCAAGGGTCTGAAACTTGATGAATTTCGTGTTTAAGTGGAATCTACTGAGTGAATTGAACACGAAGATACCTTTAATTCATAAATTGAGCAATTATTAGAGGAGATACAACAAAATAATCGATTCTGCTAAAATACATGTGTTTAAATGGGAAATGCCGCCAGATGACGTCACAAGGCGGCACATTTTCTCACTTTTAAATCAATTTTTCTCCAATTTCCCATGTCAGAAAAAAATTATGAAAAATACTGCGATCTCAGCTCATTTGGCACTTTCAGATGAAGCAATAAAATTTTTGTGTGCAAATTCTCCATTGAGGTAAAGATTTGAAACTTGGAGGATATTCCTAGGTCAAAGGAAGCTACTTTTTGGTCCCCCTAAAATTTTCAGGAGGGCCCCCCTTGAGGGGAAACGGCCCCCAACTTTTAATTTTCAAATAGGAAGACCCCGTTTGTGATAGCTCGTTCGAAAGAGCATAAAAAAAGAAAACTTTTCGCGCAAATCCGAAGTCAATATCTCAAACCGTTTCAAAATGGCGGCCGGTTAAAGTTCAAAATGGCCGAAAATGCACACCGGTTATTTGTCGATGGATTTACGCGAAAATCGGTATGTAGGGGTATTTTGACACGAGAGAAACGAATTTGACGTTAGATTTTCAAAAAAACCAAACTTTCCAAAATGGCCGCCGGTTAAAGTTTAAAATGGCCGAAAATTGTCACCTCGGTATTTTCCTGATGGATTTGCCTAAAACTTGGAATTTGAGAATATTTTGGCATAAGATAAACAAATTTGAACTTAGATTTCCAAAAAAATCAATTTTTGGTAATTTTGAACTTTAACCGGCGGCCGTTTTGGATGTTTTGATTTTTTTGAAAATCTAACGTCAAATTCGTTTTTCTCATGTCAAAATACGCCTACATACCGATTTTCGCGCAAATCCATCGACAAATAACCGGTGTGAATTTTCGGCCATTTTGAACTTTAACCGGCCGCCATTTTGAAACGGTTTGAAATATTGACTTCGGGTTTGCGCGAAAAGTTTTCTTTTTTTATGCTCTTTCGAACGAGCTATCACAAACGGGGTCTTTCCATTTGAAAATTAAAAGTTGGGGGCCGTTTCCCCCCAAGGGGGGCCCTCCTGAAAATTTTAGGGGGGCCAAAAAGTAGCTCCCTTTGACCTAGGAATATCCCCAAAGTTCCAAATCTTTACCTCAATTAGGTAAAAAGTTAGAGGGGTGGAAGGGACTTTTGGATCACCCTGTATATTTCCCATGAATTGTACTTTTATTTAGAGCACTTTTTGAGGTTCCGAAATTGATTCGAATATTTAAGAATTCAATTTGCTGAAAATTGCAAGCTCTCGGAAAATATTGATTTTCTCGACCCCTTTCGCGTAATAGAAAAACGGATAATGTCTAACACACTCTTGCGGATGTGCTTTAAGCCCACGAAAAAGCTCAACCAATAATTTTAATTTTCTGAGGTTCCAAAAGTTGACTATCGACTTGAGCTGGAATCGCATTTTTGGGCGATTGGACAGGTCCTATAGGGTATGAACGCACGCTGCTGAAAGTCTGAAAATTTGTGTAAAATGCACAACTTTTAGCATAACTTCACGTGGTTAACACAGTTTTGGTTTTAAAAAAATCTCAGAACGCTCTGTTTTAAATTTCAATTCAGTCACATTTGCAACTGCAATCAGTCGTGCTCATTGCAGATCATGCTTTCCCCCAATCGAGGTTACAGACAAAGCACAAGTGCCTGCCGTTAAATATCTGATTTGTCTACGGCCACAGATTTTTTCATAATTTCACGTGATTAGCACAGTTTTCCCCTGAATTACCAACAAACCTTTTTCCTTTGCAACACTGTCACATTCGCAGCTGTAACGAGACGCGCTCATCGTAGAACGGTTTTTCAGTTTTTCACAGTTACGGAGCAAAGAACAAATTTGCACCCTCGACTGTGCCTTCGGTTGTAGTGTTCCCCGCCGACGCGGCATCAGTTGAAGCGAAAAGACGCTCCTCAGGTTCCATACCTCAAAAATTTGTTGAACCTAACGAAGGATCACCAAGGTGGCAGAATGCAGGAATCACTTCAGAGATTTTAACGCAGGGCAGAGAAGTAGGAGTACTAGCGCCTACAAGAGTGCAGGAATACTTCACGCATTGCGCTAAATACAGTGCGGTCGCTGGTCGGCGAGAAATGCGAGGTGTTTGGCGTATGGAGGCCTTATTAATTAAAAAATTGCTCTCGCTGAAACACACCAGAGATTTTTAGATCTTCGTGGCACACATTTGTTTTTTCTCTGTATCATCGTTCGGTTAAAAACGAAACTTGCAATGAGTGCGACTAGTTACAGCCGCGAATGTGACAATCTTGTGAAGGAAAAAAGGTTTGTCAATAATTTTTGGGAGAAATCTGCGGATCACGAAAAATTATGCGAAAAGTTATGGTCGTAGATAAATTTTCAGATGTTTATCTGCACGCTTTTGTGCTTTGCCTGTATCTTTGGTTGGGGAAAACCGCGATTTGCAAAAAGCACGACTGATTACAGTTGCGAATATGGCTACATTGAGGTATAAAAGGGCGCTGATCTGTGGGTATATCCGATTTTAACATCGAAGCGTTTTCAATTTTTCAATTTCACGAACGACAATCTAATAGAGACTCTGTAATTATAGAAGCAGAAGATAGTAGTGTGGCCTCGATACCTTAATATGTGTTTATTTTAATTCATGCTGCAAAGTGCTTTTCGGCTCGTAGACAACTCGGACACATATAGAGGTATCAAGGCCACTTTACTATTTTTTGCTGATATAAATTATATTTATAGATACCTATACTTACAAACATCATGTTTAAACTCTTTAATTAATCCATTATTTTTCCCTGTACTCTATAAAAACCACCCGTTTTAGCCAATAGGATCGCTTTGGTCCCCCTTTGGCGTCCTTGTCTATGGCTCTGTCCATCAATTTCAAATGGACGTATTTCTTTCAAACGGAACTAAGCGCCATTAGGGGGAGGAAGGTAGAGGGGGGCTTGGATTGGCGGCGGAAACGGGCGTCCTGCTCGTTCCGTCCTACACTCGCGATGCTTTTCCATGGCGCTTAGTTCCGTCTGACAGAACGCGCAATCCGGGATTCTAAATCCCTCAAAAGGAACTCAAATTGGCGCTTAGTTCCAACAGAAATACGTCCAAATATCAGCTTACGGCACGGATCTATCCGTATACCCAGTTCTGTCATGGAGTCGTTTTAAATTTGCGTAGGTACATCATCGAGACGTGGACGGAGCGGAAGAAGGACGTTCCTCAGCGGCTCCTGGCCAAGGGGTACCGGATCATCGTGGCGAGCAAGGACGTGTGGTACCTGGACCACGGGTTCTGGGGGTCGACCAAGTTCTCCGACTGGCGGAACATGTACAACTACCGGCTCCCGCCGGGCGCGAGGGTGCTCGGCGGCGAGGTGGGTATGTGGTCCGAGTACGTGGACGAGAACAACATGGAGCCGCGGGTCTGGCCTCGGGCGGCCGCCGTCGCCGAGCGCCTCTGGAGCGACCCCGGGACCTCGAGCCAGCAGGCCCAGCCTCGCTTCCTCGCCCACCGGCAACGGCTCGTCAAGCGGGGGATCAACGCTGCCGCTGTCCTGCCTCAGTGGTGCGAACAGCACGATCAAGAATGTTCCTAGAGATCTGGGTGGTCTTTTTCACGAATCGTCCAGACACTAGTACTGTCGCGCTAAGGGAAAACGCCGTATGAGCCGTCACAGAGATAGCCACCGTTGGTATCATGGGCGTAGCTGCTAAGGAGCCAGAATTTGAAAGAGGATCATTTGGACTGCATTTTGCAATTTGGAACTATAAATTCTGACCCGGTTCAAAAACAACGTATGTGCTATTAGTTTTCCTGTGCGCATAAGTGTATTTTCAGATGAGCCAGAATGTATTGTTCCAAATTGCAAAATGCAGTCCATTTAGCTCCCCCGAAAGATTTGGACCTCAAATATAACCCTAAATTTTCTCGCTACGTACAATACAAAAAAGGAAGGAAAGACCCTGGTAAAAATTGGCGATAGGAGCTGCGTTTCAAAATACCATAGGCTGAGTTCTTATAGCCGGCTGAAGAAGGCTATTGAAAACACATAGCTGGCTGTAGAAAGCGGAGCAAATCATATATCCGGGCTATACGAAGCTATAAAAAAGTATACAGTCGGGCTATAGTTCCTATCGCCGGGCTTTACACTTTATCGCCATTGGCTATAAAAGGCCATAAGAAATTGTGTAGAAATTCGTGTGCTTTGGAAATCATTAAGTTTGATACGGAACTACCTTGATATTTACAAAACACACATTATATTTTCCTTTAATATGTATTTTTTTCATCAATTACCTAAAATGGGAATTATCCATACAGAGTGTGCAAACATTTCAAAATCATGAGTTGAATAGCGCTGACTCCGCCAGATTAAATATTGGAGCCTAACAAAAAGCGGAGCGGCGACGCACTGGCGCCTACAAACCTAACAGGGATACTTCACGCATTGCGCAACGCGTGAAGTATCCCTGTTAGGTTTGTAGGCGCCAAAGCGTGTTTCGCACTAGCTGCCCGCCTGCCACGGCGCTTGAAGCAACTATTTCACACCAGAGGTATTGCACAGTATCATACGAAACTGAAGGCGCTCTAATATATTAGGAATGGCAGGCATCCGTCAAAAGTACGGAGCTTTCCTTGCAAAATAAATCAAGATACTACGGCCCAAAGAGAGAGCAGAAGTCCAAAAACTCACTAAGTCCTAGCATCCGTAATTAGTAACGTTTAGCATACACTTTATCGTCTGGCTGTTGCTTAGTCGCCATCGGCTATAAAAGGCTAAAAGAAATTGTACAGCCGGCTACAGAAGCTATTGGAAATCTTACAGCCGGCTTTAGGTCTGTGGTATTTTGGAACACAGATTCTACTGCCAATTTTTCCAGGGGATATAAGTACAACTTGATAAAATCACAAAATTCACAAAATATATAATGCAATTTTTCGTCGGGTAGTCTCAAAATGCATCAATACAGTAAAGTTATCAAAACTTTGCGAGGGAGTCCCTCATAGGGCCCCCCTAGAAAAATGATTTACCTACACCTACGGTTGGTATCTTGGCATGGTGGAAGTTTTTACTTTTGCAGCTCCAATATTTAACTGTTAACCTACCTACTAGATGCGAAAGTTTAACAACTTTATTCGTAAATTTTAAAAAAGCTACTCTTGAAAAAAATATGTTAAAATTTATGTTTGAAGGAGCCCTTTTTGGATATTTTTTTAAAATAAAATTTACAACAAAAATGTAAACAAGTAAAATTTGAGTATGAGGAATTGTTGAGAAATTCTCAAATGATGAATATGATTCTCAATACTTAATCTGGCTGGCACGTGAATTCTTTGAATTTATTTTTGGAAAATCCTAAAAAAGTGTAAGTTTCCTTACCTTCTTCCGTTTTTTTTTTTTGGTAGAATAAAGTCTAACTGCGGGCATCTTGAAACATGATTTTTAACACTTATTTTTAAAACATTTGAAAGTTTTTCTTAGGGCTGTAAGCTTTGTGATGCTATTTAATTCGTACATTATTGTAGCAGTTAATGCTCCCGCGTTACCGAGGAAAGTATTAACGCAAAAATGGGTCTGTTGCACTTACGGAAAGTGCCAATGCCGTATGGATGAAGGATCTGCCGCTTCAAGCAACATGACATAAATCAAAGGTGTAAACGGGACAGGGCAAGTACGATTCAACAAGTAGATACGTATGAATATGAGTCAGTTGTCGAGCAGACACTGTAACTGTGCCATCTTCCTGTGTTATGTTCTTTTCAAAACCGAATAAATTTATGGATGATCTCAGATTCATTTCATTGTTTTTTCTTTTTCACTGCAAAAATTTTGATTTCACAAAAATATTAGTATTTGAAACTTAATAAACCTCTCACTAAGCTATTTGTGAAAAAAAAAACAATGCATATTTTCATGGTCGTAAACGCACCGCCAATTATTAATAACTGGATTACATTTTGCAATAAGGAACCACTATATCTGGCCCATTTTAGAAATATGCCGCGAGAGTGGGAAATTGATCCAAAATAGAGGCACGTTTTGGCTTATCAAGAAATACTCCCGAGCGCAACAGTTTGTTGCGTAGAGAATTTTCCACGGTTCATCAGGGAAGAGAAAAGAAACGTCTCTTCACTAAAGATGAAGAAAAAATTAAAAAAGGGAATGAATATATGTACAAAAATGAAACGATAGGAACCTTGGTGCACCCGTATGTAATACTCAAAGCGAGCGCGAATTTTTAGTGCCCCTTGCTAAGTGTCTTTATGCTTGGGTGGATCGGTGGGTGGGTGGGGTCTGAACTAGAATTAAAATTCGCGACTTTCAGATTCGGTCCACGTCGTGCAACAGGTTTGCCATCCGCCCGGAGATCGCGCATAAATCAAGGCACGTTCCTTGGACGAACGCGCAACCCTGCGCCGGGCGATCGCTGACCGCCAACCTGCGGAAAAAAGAACCCATCCCAAAACCGCACTTTTACTCACAAAAATTGGCATGATAGCCTCCATTCTACGTGAAAGTGAAGGTGAAATTCAACCGATTCTCTCGGAATGTTTACTTACATAAGCGCGGGTCTTTTGAGCCATCCTTTGACCGTGTGATTTGGAAATAATCATTGTAGGTGGGTTCTTTAAACAATCCGTTGTTGAAACGGAGAAAAAATGGCCCTTCATCCTCCTCCAGGGCGCGGTTCCGCGAAAGGCGTTCATCGCGAACAGGACTGGAACAGTGCTCGAGCAGCCGACGGCGCCGGTTTTGACCACGTAGGTCCTTAACCTCACGAGCTAGCCACAGTGAACTTGAATCTTTCATCGGAAGGATGACGCGGACAAACAAGCTTTTAGATGAGAACAGGGACCTAGACCATAGAAAAATTGGAGCAAAGATGCCCGACTGCTCTGCCGTACTGAGTAAGAACGCTGTATTAGCATTTCAATGTTGCCAAATTTCTTCCTTCGAAATATTTATTTTTGAATAAAGTTGTGAATATTTTCCCTTGAAATTTTCAGACTTTTTAGATAAAATTACGAATATAATCCTCTGAAAAAAATGAAGGAGAAACATTTCCTAATATTCCTGAAAATTCGTGATTTGTCGAAGGAAATTGGGCAACGCCTGATGGCTCATGCGGCGTTCTTACTAAGCACGGCAGTACTGCCCTTCCGGTAGCTACTATTCTATGGCTTTACAATGTGCATAGTCAATTATTCCTACTTAGCATTCCTGGCCATTCGAGGAATCGCGTGAGAGTGTGTTGGTAATAACTGCGGCAAGGTTGCCAGATTGTTCAATAAAATGTAGATATTCTACATGAGTTTAAATGGGAAGATCTTCTGATTTTTCAGCACTATCTGGAAGCAATGAATTCTGTAGAGGGAAATGCTCCCTACATTGACATAAAATAATTCTTCCCTTCCTTTAAAATGTGATTCTGTCGTATAAATTTGTTTAATTCGATCAAGCTTGCCTAGAAATTCAACTAAAAATTCCATCCCCGGAACAAATTCACTCTCTTAAGAAAAAACACCAATCATCTTAAGCCACCCCTCCTTACGATCCCGTGTGTTCTCCGCAGCTTTGACGAGTTAACCTCGGTATGCTGCCGTGCTAAGGAAGAACGCCGTATCAACCAACAGACGTTGCCAAATTCCCCATGTTAAAATACGAATTTCCAGGGAAATATGTGCATGTTTCCTGAAATTTTTCAGAACATTTCATTCGCGATTAGATATAAACCATCTGAAAATTCCAGAGAGAATATTCATAACTTTCTTGAAAAACGAAAATTTAACCGGACGAAATTTGACAACTCTCGAACGTACATACGACGTTTTACTACCATGCTAAGGAAGAACGTCGGATGAACATTCGAGAGTTGCCAAATTTCTCCGGATAAAACCAATATTTTTGAGGCAAATTATGCATATTGTTCCTCGAAGTTTTTTTGGTGTTTTAGTCGATGTTGCAAACACTATTGTACGAAAAAGAGGAGAAATATTCACAATTTTTTCAGTGAACTCAATGGACCACTAGACAAGGTACGAATTTAAGCGATCTGATACATGTTTCTTAACCAGAATTTCACGTAGAAAACGATTCGCGCAACGAAAATTACTGAAACCAACTCCTAACGAAGATACTAACTTTTTTATTTTACATTGGTTACGAGGAATTTGAACTGCCCGCTCACAAGAAACTCAAAGCTCAACGTGAGTCAAATCGCCCACTACAACGGTTTCAGCAAGCTTCTCAATCGAGCAATGTTCATTTTCCACCATGCGTTGTTCAAACTATTAGCAATTTGCTATAACTGAGCCAAAGCGTCAAGATTGATGTTGCCAGATTTTTATATCGCAGAGACTGTCATGATAACGTTTAGCGCGCTATGTGAATCACGTAGAGCATTGAGTTTTCATGAGCGGGTAGTTTGAATTCACGCATCAAGAATCATTAAATATCTTCGTAAGGAGTTTATTTCGGTAATTTTCGTTTTGTGCATCGTGTTTTACGTAAAATTTTCGTTTAGAAACATGTATCAGAATGCTGAAATTCGTACCTTATCTAGTGGTCCATTGTTCTTGAAAGAAATACGGCAACGTCTGAAAGCTCGTACTCCGCTTTTTATCACCAGGGCAGAGTATGGGTAGGTGGTATTGGCATAGTCCTCCCACATCGCTGCGTAATTTTGGAAAAAAAAACTAGTCTCAAAGAATTTCTCCCCTTCCCCCTCCATTTCCCTCCCCCTTACTTTCCCTCCCCCCTTCCCTCCCCCCGCATTCCCTC